CCAAAGTACTCAAATTTTCCGTTACCGGTTCTCCGAAGTACTCAAATTTTCCGCTACCGGTTCTCCGAAGTACTCAAATTTTCCGCTACCGGTTCTCCGAAGTACTCAAATTTTCCGCTACCGGTTCTCCGAAGTACTCAAATTTTCCGCTACCGGTTCTCCAGAACTACTCAAAATTTCTGCTACCGGTTCTCCAAACTACTCAATCCCTTCTCCAGAACCTGTGGGATTTCACTCCTGCGATGGAGGCCCATCGAGGCAGTTGCTAAAAGCAATGTAAAGGAAGTATCTTTGCAGTGTTAACTTGAAGGAGAGATGGGGATAATTATAATCCCTCCCACCACCACCCGTATCCGTTGCCATCCCAACGCCCTTCTGAGTTTTAACAGGACACAGGTAGTCCTCGATTTACGACAGTTCACTTAAGGGTGTAAGAAGCTTGACTTAGTTGAAAAAGCTTAAGTAGTTGGCGGGACTGGTTAGGAGTTGGAGGGAGACCACCAAAAGCTCCCCCTCCCCCGAGCTATGAAGCAGCCTCGGAAGTCGGCTCTTCTCCCAGGAGAAGCCGGAGGTCAGCCAATTCCACGGGGCAGCTGCCAACAAGCCACCATCGGTGTGACTGTGGGGTCTCCCTTGGCTTGATGGAAGCCCGTTGGCCGGTGATGTTGTTATGGTGAGGCAGCTGTGAAAACAGCTGCAGGAAGCAGTTTTCCGCCCCGCCCTCCTCCTCCTTTCTATTTCCCTTCTCCGATACATACAGCTAGTCCTCGAATTCCCCACAGTTCGTTTTTGATTTTCCCTGTCCACAGAACAGGGGAGGTGAGCATTCGGCTGGCTATAAAATGGTCTGTTGAAGAAATCCTACACACAAGAAGAAAATTCAGCACAGGCATTCAGTTGTCCTCTGTAGAGAATTTGGAAGAGGATCGACTGATCCATTCCCATCCGAGAAGGGGTAAAATATGATTTGAATCTACAATTCCTCCCACTGTCCTCACCACTTTCTACAGAGCGGGGTTGTCAAACTCAAGGCCCACGGGCCAGATCCAACACACGGGGTGCTTAAATCTGATCCACGGGGCTGGCCTGGAAATAGCAAAGGACCAGCCCGCGGTGCCTCTGGCAGCCATAATTGCCCATGGGGTGTGTGTGTCCTGTGTGCTCTCCGTGTCCCTTTTTGGCTGGCAGAGTGCTGCAAGAACAACTGGCCCGCAGCAGAGAACTACAGTGCTAATCCGGCCCTTGAAGAAATCCAGTTTGACACCCACCTCCCTGCTATAGAGGGACGACTGAGAGCATCCTATCATATGGCATTATTATCTGGTTTGGAAGCATTCCTGCTTCAGACAAGCAGACGGTGCAGAGAGTGGTGAGGACAGCAGAAAAGATTAGTCCAGCCCCCCCTGCTAGAGCGTTGAGCGGGAATCCTAGAAGGGATCTTGGAGGTCATGTAGTTCAGCCCCTCTGCTAGAGCGTTGAGTGGGAATCATAGAATCTAGAACCGGAAGGAACCTTGGAAGTCATCTAGTCCAGCCTCCTGCTAGAGAGTTGAAGGGGAATCCTAGAAGGCAACTTGGAGGTCATCTAGTCCAGCCCCCTGACCAAGGCAGGAGTCTTCATACCAACCCCAGACCTATTAAAAGGACAGAATGCTCTTTGGCACCCCGGAGACAGGAATCGGCTCCAAATTAAGAGAGGGACTTGCTGCAGGAGGCAATTAAAGTGGTATATTGATATATTCTAGGGCTTTTTCCTAAGAAATTGCAATAATGGTTCATTTACATGTGCTTACATTGGGGGGAAAAAATATAACAGTGCAGCCAGGGGATTTTAACCGACATAGGGTATCGTACAACAGGACATTATCACAGGACATACAATGAAGAGCATGAAGGAAGGAAGGAAGGAAGGAAGGAAGGAAGGAAGGAAGGAAGGAAGGATCAAAGGGAAACGCAAGAGAGAAAGAAAGACCAGGGAGAACATGAGACAAAGATAAATACACCGCAAACAGAACCTGGCCAGACAGATTAGGATCCCAACTTGGGAGGGTTGTTTTTTTTTGTCTCCGCAGTCTTTATTTACAGATATTTGCGCCCCCCCCCCATCAGCCCCTCCCCACACTTTTGCCGCTCGGAAATAAGGCTAGAAAAATAATGCAAGAGGCGGGGAGAGGAAGCTGACTCCCCAGGGGCCTGTTGAGCTCAGAGGTTGCTTTCGATGGGACTTGCAAAAGCCGCCCAGCTGGAAATCGGGGGTCCCGTTCTCCACCCCCCACCCCCTGCGCTCGCCTGGATCTCACTGTCTATTTGCTGTTGTCGTTTTGCAAAACGAAGAGAGAAAGAGACGACTAGGGAAAGGGATGACAAAAGAATTGGCTGCGGTCAATTTTAAAAAAAAATCTCTCTCTCTCTCTCTCTCTTTTTGGTTTTAAAAAAGAACAGCGGGATGAAAAAAATTATTATTATTTTAAAAAAAGCTTAAAACCCAAGTTTAAGTATTGGAGAGGGCTACTACGGATCCTTTTGAGGGGTGGGCGGGAGATGAAAGAATGTAAAAAAAAACGGGGAAGGGGAAAAAAGAGAGAGGGGGGGGCTCTTGATGACTGTTGCTCAAATGCCTCTTTCGTCATTGTTTTCTGTCTCTTAAATACAGGGAGTCCTCGATTTGCAACGGTCCCATTTAGTGGCTGTTCAATGTTAGGACAGCGCTGGGAAAAAAGGACCCATGATTGTTTTTCACACACAGGACTGTGGCAGCCCCTCCCCTTCCGGGCTCCTATTTATGACGGTCGCACAGCGTTCTAGTGGCGGGGGTGTGTGTCATGCGATTCCCCCCCCTTTGGCGACCTCCTTGGGGAGGTTATAGATTCGCTTAACCACCGTGGGACTGACTTAACAGCGGCGGTGATTCGCTTAACCCCCGGGGGCGAGCAAGGTCGTAAAATGAGGCCAAAACTCACTCAGCCACAGAAGCCCCCTCTCCCCAAATTTGGGGCTACGCTGTGGTCATAAGTCGAGGACTACTGGGTCAGAAAGACAAGAAAGGCTTGGAAAATTGGGAGCAGCTGAAGGTGGCTGCAGACAAGCCAGCGTTTGGCCAGGATGAAGGGGGTGGGTAGGCTGGGGGGAGTGTGGACCTAATCCAAACCAGCTTGCTTTGCAAGGCAGTTCCTGGGGGGACCCAGGAGTCCTGGAGGGGGGGGGGTGTTAGGGGGTAGTGGGAGGGCTGACGCTTGGAGTCTGGTTTGCATGGGGGTCTTTTCCTTCAGGTGTGGGGATGGACCCCCCCCCCCGAGCTTTTAAGTAAAGCAAACCTGCTGGGAATGGGAACCCCCCCCCTCTTGGCCATGAGCAAGTCTCCCTGAGTGAGGGTCCCTGCCTGGGCGAGGGTCTCCCTCGGTCTCTTTGTGATCCTTCCACCAGAGGGAGACGGGATGGCCAAAGGACCCCTTCATGGAAGACGGTGGGGCTCTTATCCCTTTGCAAGGTCTCTCTCCTCCCTGCTCCTCTTTAAGGAAGGAGCCCCCTCCCCAAATCCAGAGTTGTAGCTCTCCAAGGCCTCGGCCACCCTCCTTCAGCCCCGATGCGGCCTGGACCGAAGAGAGGGGGGGGGTCTCGTGGGATGACGGGTCCAACCAATAACGTGGCAGTCACCGGGGAAGAGGAGAATTCGGAAGCCAGGTCTTGCGCCCCGCACCCAGGCATCCATTGGAGGGTCTCAAAAGTCCAAGTGCCGGTCAGTGTGCGTTGTCTTCCTCCCATCCCCGATTCACATGGGTGGGACAATCAGCCCCGACAGGCCTGGAAAAGAGAGAAGGTTTGAGTCAAATCCTAGAGAAGCTCAGTTGGAACCATCACAGAATAACACACCCACAACTTCTGGTGGCAAGTTGTTCCACTGGTCAACTGCTGTTGAGGAGCAATGCAGAAATTCAGGGTTCTTGGTTCTCTGGGTGTAATTCAACATGGAATAATAGGGGGTCGGAAGGGACCTTGGAGGTCTTCTAGTCCAACCCCCTGCTCAGGCAGGAGACCCTACACCGTTTCAGACAAATGGTTATCCAATCTCTTCTTAAAAACCTCCAGTGAGGGAGTGCCCACAACTTCTGGTGGCAAGCTGTTCCACTGGTTAATTGTTCTCACTGTCAGGATATTTCTCCTTAGTTCTAGGCTGCTTCTCTCCTTGATTATTTTTCGCCCATTGCTTCTTGTCCTGCCCTCAGGTGCTTTGGGGAATAGATTGACCCCCCTCTTCTCTGTGGCAGCCCGATAAATATTGGAGGGCTGCTGTCATCAGCCCTTCAGATAGCAATAACACTTAGCACTTTGACTTATGTGCCGCTTCACATCCTTCTTTAAGCGGTTTGCAGAGTCAGCCTCTTGCTGACCCAACAATCTGGGTCCTCAATCTGAAGGATGGGAGAATGGAGCCTGGTGAGATTCGATCTGCCAAACTGATGATGGCAGCCAGGGATCAACAGAAGTAGCCTGCAATAGTGCACTCTAACCACTGCACTGCCGTGACTCGTGGCCATTGCAGAATTTGGGAGCTAATGATGACAATGCTTCAATTATGACTTTGGATTCTTAAAAGTTAAGAACATTGCAAGACTGTTGGTGGCGCAACACTGGAAGAAGGAAGACTTGCCTACAACCCAAG